GAAAAGTCTTACATACTTTCCCAAGGGAAGTTTTACATACTTTACAAGTTAAAGTCATTCTAATCCCTTAAGCATATCACTCATTACTTGCGGATGGAAATATTCAGAGGCAGCCCAAGTCGACAAAAACAACCCACCAGCGAGACTTACCTTGCTTCAGTTGCTTACAAGCAAGCTGCTAACTATTTGTCGCCCTGGCAAGTATGCCGGTAACAATTTAACATTAAAACGAACGCATCAAAAAGAACTGCTTTCGGAATCGAGTCCTTGAATTTACAAAGAATTCGAATAAAAAATAAGCTGTTTGAACCATCTTCAATTTTCGTAATAATGATCATTTGGGTAAGTGAAGAGAATCACTTCGTTGTGCGCTGCTAAAGGCTACGCATATTTTCACGTGTTTTGCGCTGCAACAGTGGTACAAAACGTCAATTGTTGAATCCGAGTTTGTCTGTGTTCATGTAAGCGGTTGAATTTTTGTCCGGTATTTTCAATTCAGCAACCAGAAAAGCCGGAAAGCTGAAATTCTGAAAGGATGTTTCACGCTCATCTGCAGCCCCGAAAATTTAAATTCATCTTTCCACACTGCTGGATGAATGAGTAAGTGAAAGTTTGGTTGGAAACTGTTCATCTCGGGGACTAGATAAGGTAAAAATCTTTAACTTTTCAGCGACACTGGAACTCCCAATTCCACTTCTACACGTGACTGCATTTCATATACAGGACACCCGCAACTTCAGATACTGGATAACAACAATTTCCGTTGTTATCTTCCTAATTCCGGATACAAACAAGAGAGAAAGCTGAATTTTTAAGGTGGTCTTTTCTGACCAATATGCAGCATTGGGATTTATTTTTCAGCCTGAAAAGTCTTACGTACGGGCATGTAAAAGTTTTTACAATTTGACTAGAAAACCAGACAAAGCAATGAGTCAAAATTTTATAATGCTTCCTGTTCCGTTTCCACATGTGGCTCTGGGAATTTAAATTCAAGTTTTGCATGCGTTCGCG